AGGAAGGCCGCCGGTGGGTGCTGCCACCCCAGCAAGGGGTCCTGGGTGCCTGCGGCTGGTGCCGCTTCTCATCCCTGGCCTCTACAGCTCCTCCCGGGCTCGGCTCCGCTGCCTCACTTGGTGCAGGAGCAGGTTGGAGGTCTTCTCCCGGTTGAAGATATCAGCCCGGAGCTGCAGTTAACCACAGGGACTCCCTTTCTGAATGCCTGGCAGATCCCATATCCCTGGCTGTTCTTTATTCGGCTACAAATTAGTCACTAAATGGGCAGTCAAGCAGAGCTGAGAGACAGGAAAAATTCTGCAAGTCTGAAGTCTCCCTGAGTATTGGGCTTCCCCTTTTCTTTGCACCCTGTTCTTGACCCCATCTGTTGCTGGAGATGGTCAAGGTTTAGCCAGCAGCAGTCCACCCCATCTGCTTACCATTTCTCACGGACTTTGTGCTGTGTTTCGCAGGTGCTTATTTTTCTGGTGCATTTTTTAAGGTTCTTGACAGCCAGATAACACAGTTGAATGGTAGTCCACACATGGATGCACAGAATAATTACCTGCTGATGGTAAGTAGCGGGAGAAGCATGGAGGAAGTGGCCCGTTGCTGTCGTTGCTCTCTCTGGGGACAGAGCAGCACAAGGTTGTCCCATGGGAGCGCGGCATCTGTTGCCAGATGAATACGTTGTTTGGGTAAGGTGTTACGAGGTGCAGTGAACGCATCCGTGGTCTGCTAGGCAAGCCCTGCAGACGGCTCACTCGGCAGGGCAGCTGGCAGGGAGCCCGTCCACACGTCGTCTCCAGTCCAACCTTCTCCTCCCTCGCTGTGACTGCCCAGTGGGCACTGTCGTTTGCGAGCGGCTCTCAGCTGCAGCAGGGCAGATCGTGGTCTCGCTTGCTGTCCTGCCCCTCTGTGAGCAGGGCAGCGCCAGCTCCGGGCAGCGGGAGCTGCTTTTGCTTTCCTGCTACAAGGTGAGCCGCAGCTTTGCTTCCTGTGCTGGTACTTGGGCTGCCCGAGCAGGCAAAGTGTCTGCCTTTCCTCCTGCGTGTCAGAGCTGATATTCTGACATCCCTCTCGTGCTGCTGGATGCAGAGGCTCGGCATCAGATGGGGACTGTGTTCTGGCAGATGGTGTGGATACGCAGACGAGATGGAGCCTCTCCTTACAGCCTTCTGAATGGAAGAGTGTGCTCTGCTGCCTTTCCTTCTGGCAGAACCTGCCCTAGCTGAGGAGAACCCAGAGTTCCCATGAGGCAGTCCAAAGTGTTCCTTTGGGTGCGCAGATGAAGCCCAGCTGACACAGCTCTGGGGGGTTGGAGCTCCTTGGTGCATTTTGGGGCCTGGTCTTCAGCCCAAAGCTGTTCGCTGCAGAGCCCGAGCAATCGCTGACGGCACGGGGCCGTGGGTGCT